TGCAAATCCTTTTCAATTGGTTAAGTCCCAGCTCCTCCTTGAGCGCTCCCTCCAGTTACCTAGTCCCTAATGGCTTCTTCTTTTTCTGAACTGCATTTATATCCAATAATAGGCCACTGAGCACTTAACTGTGGCAGTGAATCTCATATGTATCCTGACAGAATGTGAGCTATGTAACAGAACCTATCCTATTTCTTTATTTCACATTCTTCAAACCCACTAGCATAGTGCTCAGCATGTAAGTATGCAACAAACACTTGGGAGTCACTCATTTCTCCACGAACCCTACATTAAATGACATATACATGAAATGGCTGTAATCAATCTTACAATTAGTTAGAAAATACTTGTCTCATGGGAAAACTTTATGAAGACTTTCATTTATTCTGTAGCCTTAAAAGAAAGCTACAAATAAGCAAGGTCTAGTTCTCCCTCAAAAATGGCCAAAAGGAATTATTTTATTGGTATAATAAAGGAAACATAACACCAAAAGCAGTATGTTATGAGTAAAGGCAGGCTAATTTCTGGCAATACTTCACTCATCTGAAGCTGCACCACTTAGCAGGAAAAAAAAATGTAGCAAAAGATCCTTAAGAAACCACACAGAAAAATGTTAATGCAATAAAAGTTAATGCAATATATTGGCTGCTCAGAGCTGGAGGGGAATAGAGACTGACTGCTAATGAGTGACAGTTTCTTTAGGGGTGATGAAAATATTCTAAAATTGAATGTGGTGATGGTTGCACAGCTCTGCAAAGAGACTAACCACCCCTGAATTTTATACTATGTAGATTATCTCAATAAAGCTTTTATTAAAAGAAAAATAAATGAATGCAATAATACCCCATATCATTCTATTTTCTATACAATTTTTACAAGCCTGGTTGTTCAACTTCTAACCAAGCAAAACCAAATACAATAAATGAATCTAGGAATCCCCTGGGCAAGAACAGTCACAGTGAAGCAGTCTGAGATCATTTACATTTCCACTCAACATGCTTAGTAAAAAAAGAAAAAGGAAATCTGAGAGTCTTAAAATGATAAATCTTAAGAAGCCTAACGAGGTAAAAGCTCTAGAAATGATCTTCCAGAATGATTCATCTCATTAGTTCCAAAGAAACAGATTTTATTTTTGTATTTAGATTGTGTGTGTTGTATGTGCCTTTCCTGTCCACTGCTTTCCTCTTAATGTGCAGATGAAATAGTGCTCATGTATCAATGAAGTATTGCCAGTCCCTTACTAAAACTCTATTATTTTAAAGCAAATAAACTTCCTTTTCTCACCTCAGCAATCCCCCAGAAATTATCACAATTCAGAAAGTAGTGCTCCAAATTTGGGCGTCCAAAATGATTTCAAATATTTTGAGCCACAAAACTTTAATGACTCAATTAGAAGATGGAAAAACTCAGTGCCTATCAAATTATGGTTTTTACTTTATAAAGCACATAATAATTGCTCTGTAGTTCCTTATACTTGGACATGGATATGCACTCTACAGAAGAGAAGCAAGTTCCACTTAAAAGCAATATTTACTCTGATCACTATGTTCTTACTCACTTTTCATATACTCCAGAAGGAAAGGTCATGATCTCACGGTTCATGGGTTTGAGCCCTGCATCATGGGTTTAAGCCCTGCATTGGGCTGTGTGCTGACAGCACAGACTGGAGCCTGCTTTGGATTCTGTGTCTCCCTCTCTCTGCCCCTCTCCTGCTCGTGTCCTCTCTCTCTCTCTCCTTTGCACACGCATGGTAAAATATTTTTTTAATTGCCTTTTAAAAATTTTCTTTGCTTTTATTTATTTTTGATATAGAGAGAGACAGAGCATGAGTGGGGGAGGGGCAGAGGGAGAGCCAAAGTCGGCTGCTTAACCGACTTAGCCAGCCAGGTGCCCCCCAAATTTTAATTAAAAAAAGATAGTAAATGCAAAGGAATGTTTTGCTAATTTCTATGCTTTTGGAAATTTGATCATTGCACTTTATTCCTGGCAGGAGGTGAAAACAGGATAGAAAGATAAAAGAACAAGGTCTTGAATTTGGGTGGATTTAATTTAATTACCTATTTTGCCTGTTTAAAATCATCTATTTTGAAGGATTCATGCCTCTGATCCCTTCCTTACTTGGGTGAAAAAGTCAACTTCCTATGTAAACTAAACTTTGAAAATGAACTTGAGAGTTCCGTTATCTCTCAGTACACATCTGAGAAACTACCTAAAACCAAATTAGACCCTATCCCTCTTTGCCTAAAATCCTAAAATAATTTTCCTAAAGCCTTTGGCCTATAAAGCCGAGCTCCTGGAACATGGCTCTCTTCTTCTCCATCTTGATTATTTTTCCATGCTTTTCCACTCATTAATTCAGATGAAGAACTGCTGGATGGTATGAGTGTGTGTGTTTCATAACCTGGCACACAATATGGCTTCTCACTTTTGCCTCTGAGCATCTTGTTTCTTATAAATAAACGTTTCCCCTTAGCCCCACCTCATTCACCGGGCTGTTAATCCTCATTTCTCAAATCCTCTAGGGAACCTTCCTAGTTTGTTGAGGCCCTGATTCTATCAAAACTTGGACATGTTAGGTAGGAAAGAACAGGATGTGGAAAGAGACCAAGGAGGTAATGTCAACCATGAGTAAAGAGGGATGAACATAGGTGTCCATGGTACTCATAATATTCTATTCTTAACTTAGCTGGTGGACAGAAAAGGGTTGGTTTAATTATAATGCCTTAAACATCCAAATATAATGTATATTCTTTGTTGTATGTATATTTTACAAAAGTATTTTCTTAAAGAAGAGATTTATTAGTGAAAAGCTGAAATGAAAAATTTTTAAACATATCAGAGCTTAAAAGAAGTTTATACTTCTTCAGTGTGATCACTGTATTGTGGTTATATAGAATGTCTTTGTTCTTAGGGGATTTTTGCTAAAGTATTTATAGCTAATGTGACAACATGTTTGCAACTCTCAAATCTCTCAGAAAAAAGATAAATGTGGTAAAAAGTTAGCAACTTACGCATCTTTGCGTTAATTGACAACACTTGCAATTTTTCTTTTGGTTTGAAGTTTTTCAAAATGAAAAGACAAGCACAGGACCTTGTCTTCGTTCCCCAAACAGTAGTTATATTATAGAAAGAGTCAATACGCCGAGAAGTGAGAAAAGTGGATGGTGCAGGGGCCAGCAATCAGTCTGTGCTGCACTCTCCACCACTTAAAAGAAACTGCTCTCCCAAGATCATTAAAGATCTCCTTGTCATTGCCCAACAGAAGCTTTTCAGGTTTTCACTGCTCCTTCCTCTTGTCTATTCTCAAGTCTCTTCTTCCACAACCTACCTCTTAATGCAAATGTGTCTCGAAGGTTCTATCGTTGGCTCTCTTCTCTTCCAGGGAACCTATCCCCCACTGAGTATATGCTAACCTTTATACTAATGATTTCCAAATCTCTATCTTTAATACTGCTCTCTCCAGATACACACTCTTGTGTCCAACAAATCACACATGTCCAGACCAGACTCATAATCTGCATCTCACCCCAAACTTGCTTTTCCTTCCGTCTGTATTTCTTGTCTCAGTGATTGGTCAAAAGCCAGAGCTCTGCTCAGTGTTAGATTCCCTTCCAACCAAGGGGTCTTTACCTATTTTTTGTGCCCTCTGTGGAAGGTAGAAACTTGCCTCCCTCATAACCTTCATCCCCTAGTGGCAGGCCTGTGAATACAATGTTACCGGGAGAAAGAACCCTGTGTATGTAATTAAGGTTACCAGTCAGTTGACCAGAGAATTGGATATTCTGTGTAGTGCAAGGCAATCATACGAGCTCTTAAAAGGAGAGAAGGTTCCCTGGCTGTAGACAAAAGTGATGCAGCAGCAGAAGTCAGACAAATTTGAAGGACAGGAAGGATTTAATGTGCCATTGTTTGCTTGACGACGAATGGAACCATGTATCATGGCAACAGGGACCTCATTTCTACAACTGTGGTATTTGAGATGTTGACTGTCTATAAAAGCCCGGTGCTCCAAAGGGCTGAATAAACTGGTAATTCCTTCTAGGAGTGGAAATGGGAGTCAGAAATGGGAAAAAACGAGAGATGGGAGTCTGGTCCCTCTGGATACGACCCCAGCTTGCGTGGGGAGGAGGATGTTCCCCTCCCCACCCACACCCACAGAACACAAGCTCTACTCCTTAACCAAACTTTCAAAATCCTCCACAATCCGCTCCAAACCTACATATCTTGCCCAGGGCAACACCTCCCGCGCCTTTTCACGGAGAAGACCATGCACATCGATGATCCTCACTCAGGGGCTGGAAACTCAAAAACCTAAAGGCGAGACCTTGAGTCAAGAACGACGCACGCCCCGGACCTCGGGAAAACCGGCAGGCAAGAAGCCTAATCGATGAGAGAACTCCGTGTGGAGAAGAGAGGAGGGGTCGGAGAAGAGAGGACGCCCGAACAATCGAGTCCTCGCCCCGGCAGAGGCCTCTCTGAGGCGACCCCGGGCACGCGCACCGCCTCACAGCGGCCCCCGAGGTCGCGGTCTCGCCCCCGCCCCGCCACTCAGCCCGCGCCAGCGGGGGACCAAGGCGGCGCGCAGGAAGCCGGCACCGGGGAGCAGGGACCCTGCCTACCTCTCGGCGATGTAAAGGGTGCCGGTGCCGAGGCCCTTGCCGTTCAGCACAGCCTCGGTCTCCGGCTGCTGCTGCCGGAGCCCCTCGGCCGAACCGGGCGGCGGGAAACTTTTGAGGAAGCTCATCGCAGCGAGGAGCGCGGAGACACAAGCCGGTAGCAAGCCGAAGCACGGCCACTCCAGCCGCTCGCCTCGCCCCGCCCCGGAAGTGGTGGCGATGACCCCGGAAGAGCAACTTAGTCCGCCCCAGAATGCGAGCCGCGTTCACCCGCTGGAAAGACGTTCTGGGGCAAACTCTTAAAGGCCTCAGAGGACCAGGCGGCGTCGGTCACGTGGCCCGGCCCCTCCCCCTCGCCATTTCTAAGGCTCCGGCCTTGAAATAACTGAGCACTCTCCAACGTGCTAGTGCTGGGTTGTCCCAGCAACCCTGTGAGAGAGGAAGCACGATGAATAATAAACTCCTTTTCTACAGAAGACGAAACAGAGGCCTAAGCCTTGGACGGGAATCAAAGAACACACTCTTCTAGAGGTTAGAGCGCTCATAACTGGGTTCACGGCTCTTCTGGCCGGCGCGGGCCTCATCCCGGCCTGTCCACATCTCAACTTCACAGCCGCGCCCGCGACATCAGTCTAGGCCCTGACGCTGCCCCAGTGCGGGAGCCGCGTGTCCTCCGCCCCGTCTCAGGCAGGCAAACGAGCCCAAATTGGTAATTAACTCAGGGCGAAGAGTTGGCTGTGTCAAGGAGGAGATGGGCGCTAAGGGGAAAAGAATTAGTCCTTCGGATTTGAAACGCTTGCTTTATTTTTTTGTTAGGCACTGAAGAGCGAAGTAATAATGAAAACTTTAATCAGAATAATAGCAAAGGGTAACCGATTGTTATGTGCCAGGCACTGTTCAGGCTCTTTCCCAGTATTATTTCATTTCCTCTTTATGCCAGTTATATGGGAAAGTGACTCTTGATCCAATTTTACAAATGGGAGCCTGAAGCGTTAAACTGAAGAGCAAGAGTTTAGCCATGAGAGACCTAGAAGGAAGTCAGTCTCTAGGCCAAACTTTTCTTGCCTGTAAAATCAGTGTGATTATACCTATGCAGTAGCACCAGTTGAGGCTGGATGGGCAGACATGTGGAGTAGCTGTATTTGTATCTGCTGAATAGAGGAATATTCTATTTTTTTAAAAAACTGGGATTCTGTTTGTTGGTAGAGAGACTGGAGGAAGGGTACTCTGAGCAGGGAGAGAATTAGGAAGTTGTTGCTATGGTATAGGTGAGAGAGTGGCAGTAAGAATGGAAATGGAATAGAGTCTAGAGCAAAGGTAAAGAGTCTTTGTAAAGTCCTCAGAATTTGGAGAGAGACTGAGGGAAAGAAAGTGGTGAAAATGAAGAAGAGGATAGATGACGAGAGAGGAGCCAAGGATGATTTCCAGGCTAAGTGACTGGATGCTGGCTCATTTCTCCAAGATGGAGAATCCAGGAGGAAAAGTAAGCTTTGAGAGTAGCTAACAATCTAATGCAGGAAATGGAGAGTTTCAGGGTTCCATGGAATAGCTACACATGGTTGACTATTTAGTAAACAGAATCCCCAGAAACTCATTCTCTTTCTGCTCAGAAACAGAATCCCCCAAATCCTGCAGAGAGAAAATTGGCTAAGACCTGTGTAATAATTTCATATCAACTTGACATAGTTTTCATAGCGTCATTAAAAAGCAATTGTCTAACAGCAAAACATTTTACTGAAGTGTATGACTGAAGAAAAGGGATCTTTTAGCTCTGACAAGGAGCTCTTCACCTGTTACAGTGACAGGCTCAGAGGAGGTATTTAAGCCTATGTATGCCAAAGCAAACAGGCATATCACCATGAATTTAAAGAAGGGCAGGATTTGTTCCTTTACTTCCTATATAAATCCCTATGAGTAACATATGCTGTAGGCACTTAAGTCTCACATATGTATAGTGTTTTACTTTTCAAAAGAATGCTTTTCTCACTCCTTCTCTCCTTTGATCTTTATAATTCTGTGAGGTATGCAGGCTGGCTGCTGCTGTTATGCCCATTGTATACATGAGAAAACTGAAGATCAGAGCAATTAAGTGATTTGCTGCAGGCTACATTACTGGTATGCAGCTAGATAATTAAGTTCCTGCCTTTAAAAATTTTTTTTTAATGTTTTTTATTTATTTCAGAGAGAGAGAGACAGCGTGAGCAGGGGAGGGTCAGAGAGAGAGGGAGACACAATCTGAAACAGGCCTCAGGCTCTGAGCTAGCTGTCAGCACAGAGCCTGACACAGGGCTCAAACCCACAAATCGTGAGATCATGACCTGAGCCGAAGTTGGATGCTTAACCGACAGAGCTACCCAGGCACCCCTCCCCCGCTTTTTTTTATTAACTAAAACTCTCTCTTGAACTACAGATTTTTACATCCTGAAAGACGTCTCCATTTGGCGGTTCCACAGACCCTTCTCATTCAGCTTATCAAAAATTGAACTTGTAAACTATGGACTTTAGGTGACAATGATGTGTCTCAATGTGAGTTCATTGGTTGCAACAAATGTACCTCTCTGGTGGGGAATGTTGGTAATGAGGGAAGTGAGGCATGACTGGGGGCATGGGTACATGGGAAATCTGTGTACCATCTGCTCAATTTTGCTGTGAACCTAAAACTGCTCTAAAAAATAGTCTTAATAAAAATAAATAAATAATAGTCTTAATAAAAATTTGAATTTACTATCTTCTCACTCAACTCTGCTATTTCTCCAGCATCTTATTATATGGAAAAATACCACCTTACATTTAGGTGCTCAAGTTAGAAACCTGGAATTTATCCTTATTTCCTTATTCTTCCTCACTCTTCATATTCAGTAATAATAAAAATTGTTAATCATATGTGGTTTATCTATATGATGGAATACTACATGGCGATGAGAAAGAATGAAATCTGGCCATGTGTAGCAACATGGATGGACCTTGAGGGTGTTATGCTGAGCGAAATAAGTCAGGCAGAGAAGGACAAATATCATATGTTTGCACGTATAGGAGGATTAGGAGGAACTTAACGGAGGACCATGGGGGAGAAGAA